AGAAGACTAAGAGAAGTAGACTCGTTCTCTAAAAAACACGTTCCTCGAGTCATGTGATTCTTTCGGTGCTTCTCCTCCCCAATGTGTTCTCTCGTACAGACGTTATTTTCTTTTTATGAGACGGTTTCACTATGTAGAGACTCGCTATGTAGAGGCTAGCCTTGAACTCATGATCTTACTGTCTCAGACTTCAGAGTGCTAGCATTAAAGGCTGCACTACCGTACCCAGCCTAAACTTAGAGAATTAAAGGTGCAATACCATCCCCACCACCACCGCCTGGCTGACAGACTATTCTTAACAGTTTGGCAGTATGACATCTTCAACAAAATGAAAAAGACCAAAATGGCACTTAATTTACATAATTATTTCTAAGATGTAAAAGGTTATGAAGGGGGCCAAAGAACAAACAGTGTTGTGTGGCAAGAAGCTAACAACTGAATATCTGATGGTGAAGATAACCATAAAACCAAAACAACAAAACCCTCACATACAAATGAAGCACAGGGGGCTGGAGAGATGGCTCAGAGGTTAAGAGCACTGGCTGTTCTTCCAGAGGACCCTGGTTCAATTCCCAGCACCCTCAGGGTGGTTCACAACCATCTATAATGAGATCTGGTGCCCTCTCCTGGCCTGCAGGTGTACATGCAGGCAGAGTACTGTATACATAATAAATAAATAAATCTTAAACAAAACAAATGAGGCATAGGGGCTAGAAAGAGCACTTATTGCTCTTGTAGAGGACCCGGGTTCAATTCCCAGGGCCCAATTCCCAGGGCCCACGTGGTGGCAGCCACGTGGCGGCTTACAAACACCTGTAACTGGTTCTAAGGAGCTCTGTCAAACTCTTCTGACTCTGCAGGAACCCAGTGCACACAAAGTGCACATACACACATGCAGGCACAACACTCATACACATAAAATAAACAAATCTATTTTTTAAAAAATTAAAGCACGACAACACAGAGCCCTTAGATAAAAGAGCAGCTCTTGGCTCCTATGCTGACAGTACATGAGACACTCAAATCTGCTGAGCAGATTATATTTAAGAAAATACCTCATAAAAGCAGTCTTTTGTTGGTTTGTCTTTTTTTTTTTTTTTTCCTGGTTTTTCGAGACAGGGTTTCATTGTGTAGCCCTGGCTGTCCCAGAAATCACATTGTAGACCAGGCTGGCCTCAAACTAAAGAGATCCACCTGCCTCTGCCTCCCTAGTACCGGGATTAAAGGCGAGCGCCACTACACCTAGCTGCAATAGAAGCAGATTTTAATATCTGTTTCACCTAATGATGTCGTTCTTAGTTGTCTGAAAATTTTATGTGTGTATCTGGTACATAGTAAGTATTCCTTAAATGTCTTCTAAATGGACCTACTTCAAATCAAACACATTCAGAGGCTGGAGCAGTGGCTGGGTGGGTAAGAGCACTTGGGTTCAGTTCTCAGCACCCACATGGAGGCCCACAACTGCCTGTGATTCCAGTTCCAGAGAATCTGACTCCCTTTTCTGACTTGAGTAGGCACTAGTCATGCATACGGTGCACATACACACAAGGAGGTAAAACACAAAAATAAATTAATAATAAATCTTTTGAAAAAAAACCTTTAAATCATGACCCTGAACTCTGGCCTATGTCTTCTGCACTCCTCTACAGCCCATAATAGACTGTTACTATAATGTTTCTACATTATACAATGCTGAAACACCTTCTGGATTGCAGACAACTACCTATACACAGGCCCACAAGAAGTATATTTTAATGTCTCAAACTACTTGGAAAATTACTAATATACAGTACACACAGGCATCTGGACTTTCGGTTCTGGGATGAAACTGCCTGGGTTTCACCCCACCTGTCAGTCGCTGTGTGACCCTGGTTTAGTCTGAGTCTTCACTCCTTCATGGGTTCAAACAACATATAATGCATAAAGATGAAACTTAAATGAATTAATATTAGGAAAGCATTTAAAATGGAACCTGGTATGTAGACAGATTTTAGTAATTACTACTAATGGGCTCTCATTCTGTAACTAGGTTAAAGAACAGGATTTATGCCGGGCAGTGGTGGCACACGTCTTTAATCCCAGCACTCGGGAGGCAGAGGCAGGCGGATCTTTGTGAGTTCGAGGCCAGCCTGGTCTACAGAGCGAGATCCAGGAAAGGCGCAAAGCTACACAGAGAAACCCTGTCTCGAAAAACTAAAAAAAAAGAACAGGATTTATAATACACTTTCAAATAGCCCCATAGGTCTGTTAATGCTGGCAAGAAATCCCCACTTTTATAACTCAACTTGCATTTTCCTAGTTAATAACTTGCAGCTCTTATCTTACCAAATATTTGCAAACGAAAGCTCTGACGCCGAGCGCAAGAAGAGCACACCCCACCAATCTAAATATTCGGAAAGAATCAAATTCTTCTGTTGAACTTCCATCTTCCTGGCTGGGCTTCTCACTGATGAGCTGTTTGCGCAGTTTCATGGCTTCCTCAAACCTGGAAAGGTACTGTTCTAGGCCATGGTGAGACGCCCTCTGGGACGCACCTGCTGCAGGGTCACCTCGGCTCCGATGTCGGAGCTCGACACCATCGTTACTACCACACTCTGGTGGCTGGATGAATGAGTCCAGTTTGTCTCCCAGCTGAGTACCCTTAACTTCTGCCACCCCACTGGGCTGGTCAGTTGTTCCACCACTGACTGAATCGCCGAGCACTACCCTCTTTGAAACTGAAGGAACGCTGAGGGAGTTCAGTTTGTCACTGTCCTGGGGCTTTGATTTTGTTTGATTTTCTTCTTCTGAGGGAAAAAAAAATTAAAGCCTGTGTATTACAATACTCACAAACATCTTAAACATAAATACTCAAAAATATGCTGCTAGCACTTGGTCTCTGAATCAAAATAAATCCTGTCTCTGCAGAAAACAAGATTGGTTCTTTCTTCTTCACCTTTAGAACAGGCCACCCTTAAAGGGCATTCTGACTGAAGAAGGCATCCAAACTCTGTGGATAGGAAATGCAACTGCTAAGCAAACATGCAAGGACAGTAAGGGATGGGGCAAGGAATAAAGACCAACTCTTCCACAGATAAAACCAAGAAGACCACATATTCTAAAGACCAACTCTTCCACAGATAAAACCAAGAAGACCACATATTCTAAAGACCAACTCTTCCACAGATAAAATAAAAAAGACCACATATTCTAGAGCTATGGCTCAATTTCTTGCACTAGCTGATACGAATAAAAATACAAAATCATTCAAGTCTTGTGAGGTTTCTATTTTACAGTTCCATTTCTGAGTCTAGAGTGCTGTGAGCACAATCACTGCTGCCATCCTTGGGCGGCCATGAGCAGGCACTTTTAGGATGCCGTTCTGGTTTTTAAAGAGAGAACTCTTAAAATGATAAAATTTGCAAAGCAAAAGAATAGAATAAAAAAGTACCTTGGGCCGGGCGGTGGTGGCGCACGCCTTTAATCCCAGCACTCGGGAGGCAGAGCCAGGCGGATCTCTGTGAGTTCGAGGCCAGCCTGGGCTACCAAGTGAGTTCCAGGAAAGGCACAAAGCTACACAGAGAAACCCTGTCTCGAAAAACCAAAAAAAAAAAAAAAAAAAAAAAAAGTACCTTGGGAAAGACAAACACCAATACTTTAAGAATATCTTCAGATTAATCACTACAGAAAATGTATCTTGCACTGTTTTAGACGATCTGGAAATGGTATCCATATGTATTGTCTAGAAGTTTAGAACTACATCACTAACGCCTCACAGAAATCTCAAGAGTTCTACCAAGTTTGCAACCAATGACTAGAAAGCCAATTAGTAAAGGAAACGTTCAAGTAGGAACTTAGAGAAGCCAAGCATAGTCATATTCAATAAGAAAACAATATACTAGACACAAACTTTGCGTGGAAGATGAGAAGTTTCCTTTAGGGTAAATACAGTTATTGAAGTGAGTGGTGTAATCTCAGCTAATGAAAGGAAATCTCAGGAGGTACATTATCTCTTTAAGGAAGGCCTATAAAGAACGTCCACTCATACATATTCACCTCTCCTAGAAGATCCATAGGTGACAGTGTTGAAGGCACTGAGCACAGCCACCAAGATATGACCATAGGGGCCCTGATCCACAAAGGATGTACTAGCCAATAGTTAAGTAATGACAAACTGATGTGTAACAAGCGTTACAAAGCAAAAGGCAAAAGGTAGGCGTGAGGGGAGGATCTGGAAAGAAAAGCATTTCGAGCATATGGGGCGCAGTGGGATGAGAAGTATGGGGATAAAATATGTAGCCTTCAAGAAAGGCGAGGAATAAGGAATAAAAGGGCTGTCCACGGATAAATGGACACGGAGAATCAGGAACGAAGGCTTTGTGGCCAGGGAGGAGACAATCTCTGGGCGAGGATCCAAGAAAATAGGAAGCAATAAGGAACCTCCTGGGGTTAAGCGACAATATAATATGGTTTCGTCACCTAGGGGCGGGGACAGAGTACTATCAGAGTGCATTTTTGGGTCAAAAGCTTTGTGGGCTGGGGGGCAGAAGGATCTTGAAGATTCAAAAGGGTGAGCGGGAGACGGGAAACCGAGGCTCTCACCGGCGCCGCTCCCGGGCCTGTGAAAGCCCATGATGCGGTTGATGCGCTGCTCGGAGTTCATGAGCAGCTTTCTCCTCCGCAGCTCCGCGCGACGCTGAGAAGCCGACAGGCCCGAGGGGGCCGCGGGCCTGTCCCCGCCGTCGGTGGACACAGGCACTGGCTCCATGCTTTCTCCACAGGCTGGAGCCCGGTGACGCCAAAGGCGACTCTGACTTAGGCAAGGGCCGCTGACTTCGGTCCCACTCCCACTGTAGTCCCGCCCCTAGGGGGCGGGGACTGAGGGGTAAGCATGCGCAGATGTCCTCTCGGCCGCCATGTTGAGTGAGGGCATTCCGGGTTCAAGGTTTTTCTTGACCTGCGTTGGCACTGCTCTGGTTCCTTACCGCCAGGTTACCACTCAGGTGCTCTCGAAGGTGAAGAGACCGACGCCCTCCTGAAGGGTGAAATGCCAGTGGGACACAGGTCCATTTTATTCTCTGCCAGGAAACAAAATGGAGGTTGCAGGGGCAGGCGCTTGTTACCAATCTTAAGCGACTTTGCTCCTAGGATACGTAATTGCGGGTGCGACGCTTTCCGCGAGCGTAGCCCTGGGATTTGGTGGTGGGTGTTTTTGATTATCATTTTTCACAGTACATCTGCCAGGTTTTCCCAGGCACTTCCGTGTCCTTAGTCCTCTCACTTGCAACCATATTGCATGCTTAAATGTCCTTGTAGAGGAGGACTTTGTGTTATATCATAGAAAGGAACCTGCAGCATGCACTAGTAGTTTGTTCTGAGTTGCTCTGCATGCATATATTTTTAAGAGCTGTTTGGTGGTGGTGGAGTGCTGAAGGAGCGCAAAGAGTTAAAACCGTTCAACATTAGCCAGATTTAGTATTTCGGGAAGTGCAAAGCTTGAGCACTGAAAATTAACTGTTTCATTCCCTGTAAAACTTCGTGCCAGTTTGACATGGAGTGTTAAGTCGGTTTTTTTTTTTTTTTTTTTGGTTTTTCGAGACAGGGTTTCTCTGTGTAGCTTTGTGCCTTTCCTGGGACTCACTTGGTAGCCCAGGCTGGCCTCGAACTCACAGAGATCCGCCTGGCTCTGCCTCCCGAGTGCTGGGATTAAAGGCGTGCGCCACCACCGCCCGGCTTTAAGTCGGTTTTTTAAGGATTATAACCCTCACTGTTCTCAGATCTCTGGCCCTTTGAATAAAGCGCACCTCGCCACCAAGTGCCTTCTGTTCTCTCATAGGTGAAGAAAGCCAACCCCTTGCCTGGTGGGTGAAATGCCAGTAAGGAGCAGGTTCTTTTTTATACTAATGCCAGGAAGCAAAATTGAAGTTGCAGTGACAGGCGCTTGTTGCCAGAAATTTGCCCCTTTTTCAGGGGGAGGGGATTCAAGATAGGGTTTCTCTGGGTAACAGCCCTGGCTATCCTAGAACTTGCTCTCTAGACCAGGCTGGCCTCGAATTCAGAGACCCACCTACCTCTGCCTCCTGAGTGCTGGAGTTAAAGGCGTGCGCCAACATCACTCAGCAATCTCTCTCTCTCTCTCTCTCTCTCTCTCTCTCTCTCTCTCTCTCTCTCTCTCTCTCTCTCTCTCTCTCTTCCTCTCCCTCTCTCTCCCTCCCCCGTGGCAGATTATACTATATATTGAGATATACTGTCTCAATATGATAAGTAAAAATAGAAATTTTAAAAAAACATACACACCCAAAGGTAAAAACAGAGCATACTGTTTACCTAAATTTTCTCGCTATCTAAAAGACCTTTTATTAGGTGGAACATCTTGTCATATCAACATGCAAGGAAGTTGTCAAATGTCAGAACGACCAATGAACCTAACTGGCTCCTACTACCCAAAGATGGAACAATTTAAACAGAAAAACAAATAATTGCTGGGCAGTGGTGGCACAGGGCTTTAATCCCAGCACTTGGGAGGCAGAGGCAGGTTGATCTCTGTGAGTTAAGGACAGCCTGGTTTACAGAGTGAGATCCAGGACAGCCAGGGCTACACAGAGAAACCCTCTCTAAAAAACAAAGAAGAAGGAAGAGGAGGAATGAGAGAGGGAGGAGAGGGGAGGGGAGGGACAAAAGAGGAGAAGAGAGAGAGAGAGAGAGAGAGAGAGAGAGGAAAGAGAAGGAAAAAGAAAGAGAAAATAGACTGGGAGAATTCGTGTCTGGGATTACGACTGGCCAAACACAGGTGACTGGGCCGGAGAGATTGTTGTGGTGTCCGAAGTCTTTTAAACCCAGGAACAGGGAAAAGAAGCAAGTGTATGTTCTGAGTCGCTGCCAGTGTGGTCCAGTTAGTGGGTTCTAAGCCAGCCGGGGCTCTATACTGAGACCCTGTTTCAAAAACCAGCAACAGTGGGTCTGGAAAGGGGATCCGGCTGTTGAGTACAGACTGCTCTTCCTGAGTCCCCAAGTTCTACTCCCAGAATCCACATGTCTGCTGACTGTAACTCCATTTCCACAGGACCTAATGCCCTCTTCTGGCCACTGTGGGCAATGCATGTACATAGTGCAGAGACATGCAGGCCAAACACCCATACACAAAAATAATAAGCAATTTTTTAAAAATCAGCAACAGCAAAAGAAACAAAAGAGTCTGATAGATGATAAATCTGAAAGTTATAACACCTTGACTATTTTTTAAACTATAACTGTGTGTATCATTGTATCGTTTACTTGGAGCCAAGTTGGCACAAACATTCATGAATAAACTACAGCAAGCTAAGAGTCAGACATCCAGAAAATGCAAGCGTGTAATATTAATTGGTTTTACCTGACCCGAGTGTCATCTACAGCTCTGATGAACATGGGCCGACTGTACATGGGCACAGCAGATCTCTGGGAGGCAATGGAACAGTTTTAAAGTTGGATTGTTCAGCTGCTTTTGTGCTTCTTCGGTGCAGACCTGGTACCTCCTTTGTGAAGCAGCAGCTGAGGAGACTCCCCCATGCTCACCAAGCCCAATGAAAAACCCAAGGAAGAGGTCAAGCCTGACCACAGTGATGGTATTAATTTGAAAGTAGTGGGGCAGTATGGCTCTGTAATACAGTTTAAGAGTAGAGGCATTTAGTAAACTAATGAAAGTCCATTAGGAACAACAATGTCTGTCAGTGAGGCAGGTCAGATTCCTATTTGAAAAGCACTCACCCACACAGTTGGAAGTGGAGGCCCAAGATACAATGGACTTAATCCGTCAGCAGACTGGAGGTGCATGCTAAAATGAAACTTGCCACTTTGCTCCAGAATTTTGTTCTATACCAATAGATGATCAGGTAAAAATCTGTAATTTGCCTGGCATGGTAATGCATGCCTTTAATTTCAGCATGGGGGAGGAAAAGGCATGTGGATCTCTGTGGGTTTGAGGTCGGTTTGGTCTGCACGGTGAGCTGTTAACAGCCAGGGCTACGTAGTAAGACCTGTCCCACAAAAACAGAAACAAAACAAAAAGCTGCTGTTTGGCCCATTCCATCTGAACTACTACTACACAGTCTTCTAGACTCCTACACTTTCCTTTTCCTAGTCCTTTACTGGAGAGAGTAACTGGTGTGTGTGTAGAAGTATATTATGCTAAAAAAAAAAAAAAAAAAAAAAAAGCTGGCCATGGCGGCGCACGCCTTTAATCCCAGCGCTCAGGAGGCAGAGCCAGGTGAATCTTTGCGAGTTCTAGGCCAGCCTGGGCTAAAGAGCAAGATCCAGGAAAGGCGCAAAGCTACACAGAGAAACCCTGTCTCAAAAAAAAAAAAAAAAAAAAAAAAGACAAAAACAAAACAAACAAGCAAACAAAAAACTAAATATTCAATGTTATTGTCTTAGTCACTGTTGTCGTGCTGTAAAGAGACATCATGACCAAGACAACTCTTACTTAAAAAAGCATTCACCTTTAATCTCAGCACTCGGGAGGCAGAGGCAGGCGGATCTTTGTGAGTTCGAGGCCAGCCTGGTCTATAGAGCAAGTCCAGGACAGGTTCCAAAACTACACAGAGAAACCCTGTCTCCAAAAACAAAACAAAACAAAAAGCGTTTAATTGTGGCTTGCTTACAGTTTCAGAGGGTTAGTCCATTATCATCATGGTGGGAAGCATGGAGGGGAGCAGTAGCTGAGAGCTACATCCTGATCTGAAAGCCAAGAGAAAGAGAGACTGGGCCTGGATAGGCTTTTGAAGCCCACCCCTTCGTGACACACTTCTTTCCAAGACCATATCTACTCCAACTAGGCCACACCTGAAAGGATGGTATGGATCAGACTCCCAAGACCAGGTACTCAGCACAGAGGATATTTGTGCGAGAGGGAGAGAGGCCAGGGAAAAAGAGACACAGGCAGGAGACAGAGGACAAGGGAGAATGGGGAAGGGACAAGGGAGAGGGAGCAGGGGAACTTGTCTAGTGGGGATGGCAACGGACTTCTGGATAGAGAGGAAACAGACATGGCCCATAGGAAAATGGCAGTTTATAAAGATAAAAGGGGAACCCCCCTGTTAGGATGAATTGTTCAATTTCAATTGGGCATGGTAATTAGGTGAGCCAAAGGCAGCTTTTGATTGCTGAACTTCAATACTTTGATAGCAGGACCTTAGTAGTCAGCCTCAGGAGGAGGAAGTGGCCAAATAGGGGACTAGAACTTGGTGGCTGGCTTTAGGACTGTAACAGTTTTTAGCAAGGCAGAGTGTTGTGGGATATTAGTTTAACTATGTAAAGATATGTGTTGCATTTGTTTATCTTGTCTGCCTAAGGCACCTGATTGGTCTAATAAAAAGCTAAATGGCCAATAGCTAGGCAAGAGGTATAGGTGGGACTTCTGGGCAGAGATAGTAAGTAGGAGGAGGAATTTAGGTTTGGGGAAGAAAGAAGGAAGAAAGAAAAAGAGATGCCAAGGAGACACCAAGGGCCAGACAGACAGACATAGAGGAAGCAGGAAAGTAGGACATATAGAATGAAAGAAAGGTAAAAAGTCCTGAGGCAAAACACAGATGAATAGAAACAGATCAAATTAAATTAAAAGAGCTAGTGGGACAAGCCTAAGTTAAGGCTGAGCATTCATAATTAATAATAAGTTTTTTATCTTTATTTGGGAGCTAGTTGGCAGCCCAGAGAAAATTCCAAATACAAGCAGAGTGAACGAAGGAAAAAGATAAGGTCTGCCAGAGCCATGGTTGCCATGCTGGGGCTGGCCAGAGTCCCTTCAACACCTCCTAATCCTTTTCAAATAGTGCACTCCTTGGTGACTAAGCCTTTCACTATATGAGCCTGTGGGAGCCTTTCTTACATTTTGGTTAATGTCCAATGGAGATGGTATTGGGAAAGTTCCTTGAAAATACCCCCCTTCTCCTTTAGTGGCATGCTCATTCAGCTTTTTTTTTTTAAAATGTGTTGAGTGTTTTACCTGCATGTATTTATCCATCATATGCATGCAGTTTCTGCAGAGGCCAGAAGAGGACGACAGAGCCTCTGGAACTGGAGTTACAAGTTTATAAATGGTTTTGAGCTACTATAATGTGGGTGCTGGGACTGAACTGCAGTCCCCCTGAAAAAGTAACAAATACTCCTTACCATTGAGCCATCTCTCCAGTCCCCTCATTCAGCTCTTTTTGTTGTTGTTGATGAGACAGGTTCTCTCTCCTGAGCCCTGGCTGTCCTAGAACTCGGTCTGTAGACCAAGCTGGCCTCAAACTCAGAGATTTGTCTGCCTCTGCCACCCAAGTGGTAAATTATTTTCCATTTGTTATTGTTTGTTCATTTGTTTATTGTTGTTGTTTCGAAACAGGGTTTCTCTGTATAAAGATATGCCAGCACCATTTGGTGGTAAATGATTTTCTTAACAACAACAAAACTCCAACAACATAAAACTCCTTATATACCAAGCTGGGCAGTGGTGGCGCACATCTTTAATCCCAGCACTCGGGAGGCAGAGGCAGGTGAATCTCTGAGTTTGAGGCCAGCCTGGTCTACAGAGTGAGTTCCAGGACAGCTAGGGCTACACGGAGAAACCCTGTCTCAAAAAACAAACAAACAAGACCAACAACAACAACAACAACAACAAACCCTCCTTGTATTCCTTGTTTAATCAGAGAATTGTATTTTGTCTTTTTGGAGTTGGGGGGGGGGGGTCTTTTGTGGGAGGTTGAGACAGGGTCTCACTCAGTAGCTCTGGCTGGCCTGGGACTCACTGTGTACCAGACTGGCTTCAAACTCACAGAGACATGCCTGCGTCTGCCCCTGACTCTGAGTGCCTAGTATGTATGGAGGCCAGAGAGGTGTTAGATCCCTGGAACTGGAGTTACAGACAGTTGTGAGCCACCATGTGGATGCTAGGAATAGAATCTGGGTCCTCTGTAAGAACAGCAAGTGCTCTTAACCACTGAGCCATCTCCAGCCCCCAATTCTGTCCTGACTAAAAACCACTGAGCCGTAAAATATATGGTATAAAATATACCTCCATAGAGTTGTTCTTCAATCTGGCACAGGGTTTGAGGATTCTCTGAGGGAAACTGAGTCTGTTTCTTGGTTCAGATGTTCTTAGCCGAGAGAACGAGAGGTCAGGAAACTCAACAGCCACCCAAGTCATTCTGAGCCAGTGGTTCCCAGGTCCATTGTCTCAGAGTTGTGAAGAATGATGAGCAAGGACAGGAAGAGGACAGAGTTCTCTCCTGCTCAAGTGAGGGGACTTGAAAGTGAGCTGCCCCCTGGTTCCTTGGCTGAGTCCAACTGTCCCCAGTATATGAGTTTGATGGGCTGGACCTGTTAGTAAAGTAGGGATTGAGGACTCTGAACTGAGTGGGTGTGGGGAACTCTGGGTAAGAAATAAGGGAGGAAAGCACTGCTCCAAGTTTCCAGGTCAGAGAGGGGAAAAAACCAAGTGAGGACAGCAAGGGCTGGCTGTCGATCTGGCCATTATCTTTGCAAGACAGAGCCTTTAAAACTCACACTCTCTGGGTTAGCCTTCCAGCCTCTGAGCTGAGTTTCCGGCATTTGAGTAGCTCCTGTACTGACCTTTTCTGATAAGGCTTGTCAGGAAGCTAGCGCTGCAGATATCTCCTTCTTAGGAGATAAAGTTAGCCCTCTGCCTGTCCTGAGTTCATAGAGAAGCTGGCCTTGCCAGCTGTAACGGTTTTTCTGTCTCTTCCTTATCTAACCCTAAAAAAGAAGTGGCCTTACTCCTAATCACTGTCAATAGGCTAGAAAAAATAATTCAACAGATAGCCTGGCATGATGGTGCCCATCTTTAGTCCCAGCACTCAGAGGCTGAAACAGGAGACTCTTGAGTTCAAAGTCAGCTTGTGCCTTGCTGGGTTGGATCAAGATGCCCTGGTGGGTGAGGAGATACACCATGCAGACTAGGCGGGCAGCAGCATAGCACAGTGGAAGTCACTAATACCATGCAGACACAGCATCCACATCCACGTGGAGAGTTTATCATAAGATGGGGGGGGAGAGAAAGGGAGGGAAAGAGGAAAAGTGGAGGTGTGCATACCTCATGGTGAGAAAGGGAGGAAGGAGAAGAAGGGAGGGGGTTTTCCTTAAAAGAGGCTTTATTTTACTCAGAACACAGGGCAGGTCCCCAAGGGGCGGGCCAGAATGCCAACAGATGAAATCAAAGGAAAATGAATGTTGTATGAATTTTCCTGGGAAGATATCAACAGACATCTATTATTATCATCATCATCATCATCATCATCATCATCATCATCGAGATAGGGTCTCACTTTGTAGTTCTGGCTGTCCTAGAACTCACTATGTAGATCAGGCTGTCTTGAACTCACAGAGATCCACCTGCCTTTGCCTCCCAAGTGTGCCACCATGCCTGGCAAACAGACATCTATTTACCCCAGATAAGGCACCAATAATTGACCAAAGAAATGACGCTACCCACGTCTAACCTAGTGAACCAGTAAGTTTATTGGTGTTACTTACAGAGCATGGATGACATCATCAATCAACCTTGGTCCTCCAGCCTGGTGTCAATTCATAAAATCTCTCCTTTTGGATGCAGTGTGCTCTACAAAAGGGTGCTTCCTGTCCCCAGTAACTGTTACTGCTTCTACAACCTTGGAAAGGAACTTGTAGTCCTGTGACTCTCTTTTTTTTTTTTTTTTTTTTTTTTTTTTTTTTTGGTTTTTCGAGACAGGGTTTCTCTGTGTAGCTTTGCGCCTGTCCTGGGACTCACTTGGTAGCCCAGGCTGGCCTCGAACTCACAGAGATCCGCCTGGCTCTGCCTCCCGAGTGCTGGGATTAAAGGCGTGCGCCACCACCGCCCGGCTGTGACTCTCTTAAGCTCCCTGAGCCTGTGAGTTGCATGAGCTTCTGCCCTCTTCAAGGAGGGGAAGTTTCAATTGGAAAGAAATGGTTACACAACGTGAAGAAGCCAAGTCAAAACACAGCCCCTATCCCTGTAGATGGATCCAACCTTCCCATCAAACAATAAACACAGAACCAATGCAAAGAAGAAAGCCAAGAGGTCAGAGCTAAGAGCTAAAACCTTACCCTTCCTCCTGCGGTGGTCCTACCTCTCCGAACCAGAGCTACCCGTGTTAAAGTCTTTATATAGAGTTCCTGTCCTGCCTTCTCATTGGTTGTAAACCCAACCACATGACCGCCTCCTCACGGCCTGTCTGTATAGGCCTCCAGGTTTTCCATGATTGGTATTAAGATTAAAGGCATGTGTATCCAATACTGGCTGTATCCCTGAACACACAGAGACTTACCCAGCTCTGCCTACCAAGTGCTGGAATTACAAGCGTACGCTACCACTGCCCTGCTTTCCTATGGCTTGCTAATAGCTCTGACCCCCGGGCAACTTTATTTATTAACATACAAATAACATTTTAATACAAATAAAATATCACATTTCCCTTTCTCCCTAGAGCCCTCCCTGTCCAGAATGTGCTCCAGGACTCACAAGCAGCTAAGTGATGCGAAGGTCCCTACAGCTAGCTACTCGGATGTGGAAGCCTTTACCTGTGTCGGGTCTGAAAGAAACTCCACTCCCCCAAATCCTGGCACCCGTTTCCTTCTACCAAAGGTATGGTTGAGGGGAAGGTTTTTATTGTAGATATGAGGGAGAATAGAGCCAGAGGCATCTAGAATAGTCCAGAACAGAGAGAGATAGTAGTAAATTAAACATGGCCAGCAGACTGGACCAGGCCTGAGAGGAGCCAGGTGGGAGGAGGGAGGTGAGAGGAAGACAGAGAGAGTCAGGGGTCGAGTGGGGGGATTAAGAGAGAGAGGGCCCTGAGAGGAAGACAAAAGAGAGGGAGCATAGCCGGAATGGCAGTGTTACAGGGACCGAGAAGGGGAGGGAGGGAAGCCTATGAGCATAAGTTATGCGTGTGGGGCGTGGTGAAAAGACCCACTGGTAGCTGGGATACTGAGGAAGTCTGGAGGCCAGCGCTTTAGTATGCTAACATCCACCAAAGGTAGCCATTTGTCCTGAGTTCCTTTTAAACCTTAAATCAAGCAATTGCTAAGAACCACTGAGGCACACCAGTAGATCTTATTTTTCTGAATGGTCACATTGTGAAAGGTTTATGCTTACACCCACAGACCTGGGGCTTCTCTCAAACCGGGTCAGAGAAACTCCTTTCTGCAGCATGCAGAGACACAGAACTGGTCAAAGTGCTGTGAAGAACAGATTGAGTGCTCGGCTTTAAATGGGACATCTTAATAACCACTAACCTTCCCCATGCCCGCTAAGGCTCAGGGAACTTTGAGGAGCAGGCAGCAGAGAGATGGTGAGAGCTGGAGAATGGGAAGGAGTGGTGTGAAGTGCTCTCTCTGGACATGACATGGCCATTGCGCTCACCATGAACTCACAGCAGCTGTAGTTCCCTGACTAAGACCTACAGGAGATCAAGGTGACTAAAACCCCTCAGACAGGGTAGATGATCTCCAAGTCTCACCCTACACCAAGGAGCTTTTGGTAGTTGATAGCTGCTGGGGAAGAGAGAATCATTCGAGGGTGTGGACAACTGAGTTCCCATGCTTCAGTGGATGCCTCCTGCCCCCTGCCACCCCACATGCACATATGAGCAGTATTAATTGGATTTAATGAGTTATCAAGTTAAAAAAAAAGAATAAACAAAAAAGAAAAAGAAGTCATGAAGTTAGGAGTTAGTCAAGTGTTTGGGGATACAGAGGGTTGGAGGGTGACGTGGGAATAAAAATGATTTTATTTCATTGTATGTATGCATGAAATCTTCAAAGAATAAAAAAAATCAACACATGAGGCTGGAGAGGTGGCTCAGCGGTTAAGAGCACTGACTGCCCTTCCAGAGGTCCTGAGTTCAATTCCCAGCAACCACATGGTGGCTCACAACCATCTGTAATGAGATCTGGTGCCCTCTTCTGGCGGGCAGGGGTACATGCAGGCAGAACACTGTATACATAATAAATGAGTAAGTCTAAAAAAATGAACACATAATAGAGAAAATTAGATTTTTTTTTAATTGGGGGGGACATTTCAAAACAGGGTCTCACTATGTAGCCCTGGCTGTCCTGGAACTTAGTAGGTAGACCAGGCTGGCCTTGAACTCACAGAGATCCACCTGCCTCTGCTTCCCTAATGCTGGGACTAAAGGCATGTGCCACTATGTGACTGAGAAAAACGAATTTTTTTTTTTCCAAGGCAGGGTTTCTCTGTGTAACAGCCATGGCTGTCCTGGAACTCACTCTGTAGACCAGGCTGGCCTCAAACTCAGAGATCTGCCTGCCTCTGCCTCCTGAGTGCTGGGATTAAAGGTGTGTGCCACCATGCCCAGCCCTTACTCTGGATTATTAAACCTGAAATGATCTTCCTAGAACACAGATCAAAATCTGCCTAGATTCTGTGTGAAGACTGTGTACCCCTAGGGAAAAAAAAAATTGCTTAGTGTGGCATTCCCAGACTATGACTCACTGTAACCTCACTCTAACCTTCCCTCTGCCTATCCCCCTGACTCTGGAGAACCTCTTCCGGGCTCCTGAGCCCAGTGCTCTCTCCAGTCACTTTATACATGTAGATTCTTCTGGAAGCTTCCTTCATTCTGACAAACTCCTACTCCACCAGTAAGCCTTCCCCAGGCTTGTGTAGCCTGTCCCTGTGCAGTACTCTTGGTCACACTGATGTCACTTCAGAGTTCCTCAGGTCAAGGGACCTCCCTGGCATCAAACCAATGTCTTCCTTGAGGCAGAAGAGCCAGGGCGCCCAATACTTTGCATCTCCTGTGGCCAGCTTTTTTCCAGGAGGTGGGGCAGTATCCCAACATGACACCTCCCTGTGGGTCCTCTAGGGAGGAGGCTGGGGCAGTCACATGAGCTCTGGAGGTGGAGAGGCCCATCCCAAGCCCCAGCCTTTGACATCTGCGTCAGGCAAGCTCCTTGCCTCTGTATGCTCGGCCTTGTACAGATGTGTACAGAAATAAGTAGCACCTAGCTCTTAGGTAGTAATGATGGCCATTCTTGGTTGCCAACTTGACCACATCTGGAATTAACTAAAATCCAAGCTAGTGGGAATTCTTGTGAAAGTTTGTCTTAATCGGATTATTTGAAGCAGGAGGACCCACCCTAAATCTGGGCCACACCTTCTGTTGGCAGCCTACATAAAAGGACATGGAAGAAGGACGCTTTGCTTTTGCCTGCTTGCCCTCACTCTAGCTGGCAAATGTATCCATCCTGCTATGGAGGCATGCATTCCTTCACTGATATTAGAACCTACTTCTTTGGAATTCCAACATAGACTGAAGGCCAGCTAAGATATCCAGCTTTGTGTATTGAACAACTATTAGATTCTTAGGAGACAGCCATTGTTGGACTAGCTGGACCACAGCCTGTAAGCCACTCTAATAAATCCCTGTTTAATATATATAGATTCATCCTATCAGTTCTGTTCCTCTAGAGAACCCTAACACAGGTAGAGAAGTAGTGATTGTTCTCTGAATGATGGGCATTACTCCCACACCCACACTGGCGAGGTATGCTTATGTCCTGGCACAATTTATCCACATTCCCAGTAGCAAGGTAGGAATGTTAGCTGGAGCCAGTGCATAGAGCAGGCAAAGAAAACATAGAGGCAGACTGTCATCTGCTTCACCCCTGGCCCACCAGAATTCAATGCTCTTCCATTCCCCAGGAATGGGAAAGACTTGGGAGCAAGGAAGGGAGGCTGCAGATGTGGGGTGCACCAGCTCCTGTCAGGGGTGCCCACCAGCCCAACGGTGATGACATCACACAACGGTGATGACAGCAGCCACAGGGGAGTAGGGAGCAGAGAGCTTCTTGGCCTTTCTTCCGCTGGTTCTACATCCCCAGTACAGGTGCACAGGACCCTCACCTTTTCAAGTTCTTCTACACGCCAGGTAAATGCAGAGCTGGGGGCTTTGCTGTCACATCCCCAAGAGGCATGAGTAATTGCCCACGTTACATGTAAAGCCAAGATGAGAAGACAGGAGCTCACGGGCAGCACCTCCTCTGTCTCCACAGATACTGTAAGCCAGGCAGGCTTGTCTCTCACTGCTCGGTGAGGCTCCGTTCCTGGGCAGCCTCAATTTAGAGTCACAAGGACCCTAAGTTAGACTTTGGAACCTGAAGCTTCACCCCGTCTCAGGCCACACCTCTCAACTTAAATTCAGGCTGTAGAGGACACAGTCCTCCCAGCTGCACACAGCGGGCCTGAAATCATCCTGAGTCTTTGGAACCAAAGCTCTGGATTCTACCCTCTCAACTCTGGAATTCAGCCCCTTCCTTCCACCGCACTTTGGGTGTCCCAGTGCTAAACCAAGCACCCCAACTACACCAACTACACCTAACTATACCCTTCTAGCTCCTGCTCCTAGTGTGAGGCAAACCTGGCTAGAGGACTGCATTGTGAACCCCTCATTTCCTGCTCGTACTGGTGCTGGTGTGAGAGCTAACATTATGTTTTAAGTCTAAATTACTGTGCTTAAGAGATCTATAAAACAGAAATGCCTCTAACCTGTAAGCCCCACTTGCCCAAGGACAGATAACTTCCTGGAATGTTGTTCATGCAAGATAGCAAGTCACACATTATCACTTCAGTAAACAAGGCTGGTTGCCCCAAATGCACAGGATGTGCTTGATCACAGGCAGGCAGGAGGCACATGTGTGCTTGCCCCTGACTGGACTAAGGTGGGGGTGCACAGCCTCGGGGGTTTGTCTTTACAAGCAAAAAATGTAATTCTGTGCCATACTCTGTGCATCCTGGGTATGGACCTGGCCAGTGTCCATTGTCCTGGCCAATATTTAGTAAAGCTTGCCTTAAATTTGGCTCAAAACTTATGGTAGTGGTCTCATTCTCTCCCAGTGGGGTTAACACGAGGCTTCCTCCCACATCACTCCCCAATCCCACACTCTACTTAAGCAGACAACCTTCATTCCAGCCGGAAACCTCCCCTCCAGCCATGAGAAGACTCTAGGGACTCCGCAGTTTCTCCTCAGGTTCTTCCCACCTCAGCTGTCTTGTACACACACACACACACACACACCCCGCCCCGCCCCGCCCCGTCGGGTCCTGTGCTTCTGTTTCTCCAGTTACCTTACTTCCTAGTACGGCAGGATGGAGTGGCACCCCAGAGACAGAGCATAACCAGACAAAGCCAGAAGTGGCTTGAGGCCTCCCAGGGGACCAAGGGAGCTCATGAGCCCAGGAGGCCAGAGTGTAGGGATCTTCCACTTTTCCTCCCACCTGCACCTGCCACCTTCAGCCCTACCCCATCAATTCCCTGCCAGTGTATACCTGAGAATCATGGTCTTCGGCACCCACCCCCTTGTCAACCAAAGGTGGCAAACCAGTGATCCACCACACTTCGTTTGGCCTCCATCACTTATTAAAGTTTTAGTCAGCTGTTACTGTTTAAAAATCAGAAAATTCTGCATGAGGATCCAGCATTCTAGTTTCTTTTGAAAAGTGAGACCTGGTGACCCAAGCACCCCACCCCGACACCAGTACTTCATGGTAACAACCAGCTACAGCTAGTATTAGCCGGTCCTTCGCTCCCTTGGGGCTCATGTTCAGCCTTCTGAAGTTCTAAGCCTCCTAATAGCGACTGCCATACACACTGGCCATGGCAGCTTCTGACTACATCTTTGCATGAGGCTCTTCTTCCAAAGGAGCAGAAGGCGCGGAGGCTGTCCAAGCCCATCTTTCCTTTGCCTCGGGCCTCAGTGTGGGCGGGCAGGCAGAGCAGGGTAAGCGGGAAGGCAGGGTGGAGAATCCCAGTCAAGAGCCCACCTCCAGACTCTCTCTGGCAATTTTCCAGCAGCATCCCAGGAACTGCCTGTGTCCGGTCTTGAGCCTGGCTGGGGCCAGGTTGCCGCAGATACAGAGCTGGCTGGCTCTTCCTTCAGGCCACTCTGCGTCCTGAGCTGGGCCTCAGGCCTGAGGTTTCCTGAGCTTGAGCAGCACTGAGGTCTGGAATAACAGGCTTCCATACTGTTCAGCCAACTCAGCCAAATATGCACCACGGGGTAGCTGCCGTGTCACAGTCCAGCACGATATTGAGAACAGTGCAGGGGGCCCCTCCTACAGACAGCACTGTGCGGGAGTCCACCTGGTACTTCACAGTGCTCAGGCCTCCCTCCCGGTCCACCTTGAATTGTTCCTGGGAAGAAGAGGAGGAAAGAACATGAACTCACACTTCATGGTGCCAGCTGCTCGCCCATCTCCACTGAAAGAGGAGCGCCCAAAGCTGCCCTCTTGCCAAGCCTGCACCCCGTCAGTAAGGAAAATCCACTCTTCTGTGGGGCAAATACACCTCCAAGAAAGGGATTCCGGCACCTTCAGTTAGGCCTTCCCACCCCAGCCTCCATGGGTCAGGTCTGGGCTGATCCACAGTGCCCAGAAGCACACAGCAGCCACCAAGCAGGGCAAGGTGCCCATGGAGAATGCCCATCAACTGACCTGACCCAACAATGAGAGGATGGCACCATCTGGGCACCACTGGTGAAATGGTAAGGCCTGTTGGTTCCGACCTATCCCTCACCACTGCGGAAACTAGCCAGCACCTGTTTTTGAGCTGCAATGCGTTTCTGGTCCCTCTTCCGCCAGGCTGGGTCATGCAAGTGGCGAAATGTCTGGTACCCAGTTGTGATTCCTGAGGGGCGGAAAAGCTAAGGAAAACAAAGGAAGTAGGGGTCAGGCTGCCTCTCTGGTCACCCTGGCCCTTACCACTAACTCCTCTGGGATCCCACTGGCTGCCATCCTGCAAGACAGGAGATTCTACAGAGAGCCCTGCAAGTCAGGGTGAACGCAGGGATCAGAACCAGGGAGACCAGCTGCAGACCCTAAGATGCAGCAAGTGAAGGGACCCTCCAGACAGCCCCCCAGGACAGCCACGTAGCCCAGGGCCAGGCAGAGCCGGGGGCCAGGCAGAGCCGCGGGGGGGGGGGGGGGGGGGGGGGGGAGCCTTACCTGGAGGCCAGCTCCCTTGATGCGCCGGTAGAACTCATCGTCCTCGCGGCCCCAGCCCCAGAAGCGGTTGGACATCCCGTTGCACTGACACAAAGACAGGCAGTGTCTGTCACATGCCCTCCTCCCAGGGTGCACTTTAGTCTCTTACTGCTCGGGAGAGCCAAGTCTGAGCCCAGCCAGCCAGGCTCCCCTGTCTTCTTCCTGCCCTGACTGCTCTGAGTGACACAGGGTGCTGGCAGGTCCCTTCACTCTGCAGTGGGGATGTGGGGGGGGAAGGAAAGGGTCAGCACATCTTAGGCCCTCCCCACTTCTAACAGGGCCTTGAACTTGTGTGTGATAAGTGTCTCGAGTGTCGGCTCCCTTCAGGGGGCAAAACTGCCAACCTCCATAGCTTTTGCCTTCCTCTCATACCAGTTCTCCCGAGACGGCTGTGCCCAGGTCTTTTCCTGTGTTTGAGGGACAACTGTGATGAGCATTTGCTCAGGGGCGATAGTCATGGAGGACAGAGAACAGTCACTCCCATCTCCTCACCCCTCTGTGTCCCTGGGTCCCATCAAGAGCCGGTGTGCTTTAGTCTGGGACTCCTGTCCAGATTCTGGGGAGGGGAGGGGAGGGGCTCCACCTCCCACCAGCCAGGCCGTGTTTTAAGGGCGGCTATGCAGCCTTCTCACATGAGGAGGGAGGGCCTGGAGACAACGCTGAGAGGGAGGTTCTGCAGCCATCACATCCTAGCTCTCTGTGGCCAGCTGGCACGGGGGCTTCTGTGGTCACAGCAGAGCTCTCCCTGGCTAATGTGCTCATTCCTGGTCCTGTCTTATGTCTCCGGCTGCTGCTGAGTCCCCTGTCAAGCTCAGGCAAGACTCCATCTGCTGGGCCCCAGGAAGGCTGCACTCCCCCCCAACAACTGCCTAGGCCCATGGCGGGAAAGATCCCCAGCATTTCAGTGAGTAGAGCAGGTAGGGCTGGACCTCACCAGCTGGTAGTGCTGCTTGGAGAGCAGCAGAATGCCGCCTACATAGGTCTTGTAGTGGTAGAGAGGGTGGAGCTCTGGGGAGGCCACATGGAAGGGCCCAGCCTCTGGGAAGCCATAGTCCAGCTCCTCATTTAGAGGGAGCAGGTCCACGTCATGCATGGCAATGTAGTCTGTGCTGTTGCTGCTCTCCAGGAAGCCCACATTGATGAGTGCTGCCCGATTGAACCTGCGCGAGAAAAATGATGCTAGGGAGAGGAGGCGAGCTTGTTCACCAACCTCGCTCTAGCCTAGCTGTGCAGGAGAACTTCTTCCATGCCGCCACCCAACCCTGTCGTCACTGTCCCCTGCTGTCACTCTGCCTGCTGCACAAGTGTTTATGGAGCACTTACTACATGCCAAACTGTTCAAAACCACTCTGGAAGAAAGAGCACGGAGAACCAAATCCTGTTCTCCAGGACCTTCCAACAGGAAGGAGCAAGTCAGAGTCAGACAGGGAAGAAGGACACTGGCGGGGGAGGTGGGCAGCTGTTCTCCTACACAGCTGTCGGGACAGCCAGGACGGCACTTCAAGCTGGAACTCGAAGGCCTGATCATATGGAAGCTGGAACCGGGGCCCCACACAGAGGAGAGTAACTGCCAAGGCCACCAAGAGCAGACACCAGGAGGACACTGAGAAGAGACTAGGGGAAGGGGTAGACACTGAGAGGCAAGAGGTGATGGTGGGCAGCAGAAGGAACTGTGAGAACTGGGCAGACTCCAGATGTGATTTGCTGATGGTCTGGATGCTGTGACAAACAAAGAGCTTTTTTGGCTTGCATAACTAGAACTATGTAGCTTCCTCTTCCTGAAATGAGGAAGAGGGAAAGAAAGCAGGTCTGAGGGAGTAGCAATCATAAACTCAGCTACGATCCTGTTGGGACCACCAGATGGAGGCATCACGAGGGAGGCTGCATATGCAGACCTGGAGCTCAGACTAGGGAGTTCCCCATCATTTAATACCAGGAGATGAGAAGGGATGGGATTGTCCACGGGGAGTCTGCAACTGAGGAGAGGGAGTGCTGAGAACAGAGACAGGGTGAAGGGAAATGAGATGAGCGGGGTTGGCCACTGAGATGGAGAAAACCAGAAGTTAAGCAGAGGCATCAGAAGGAAAAAGATCTGCTTTAGAGAAGCCACTGATGCAGGAGGATGACAGCCTGGGATTATGGTCACCGGTGACCTCAGTGAGGGCTGTTGCAGATCATAAGAGATGTCTGTTGAAAGAGTCTCGAAGATAATCCCAGCACTCAGAAGGTGGATCTCGGAGTTTGAGGCCAGCCTGGTCTACAGAGCGAATTTTTCAGGACAGCCAGGGCTATAGAGAAACCCTGTCTTGAGAGGGAGAGGAGGGAGGGAGGAGAGAGAGAGAGAGAGAGAGAGAGAGAGAGAGAGAGAGAGAGAGTGAGTGAGTCTTGAAGGAAGGAATAAAGAAGTAGGGTGACAGCAGTGGGGGTATCTGACAGAGAAGTCTTTTTCCCTTCTTTTTCTTATCTTCTGTTTCTCTCTCACACTTTTTTTTTTTAAAGACAGGGTCTCACTATGCAGCCCTGGCTGTCCTGGAACTTGATACGTAGCTGGCTTTAAACTCCCAGAGACCCACCAGCCTCTGACTCCCCAATGCTGGGATTAAAGGAGTGTACTGCCTTTCCTGGCTCCGTCCTTTTAAAACACTGAGTGTGTATGGAAGTCACAGAATGGTGAGGTCAAAGGACAGCTTGTGAGAGTCAGACTTCTCCTTCCACCATGTGGATTCACCAGGCCTGGCGGCAAGCTCCTCACCTCCCCACTCCTTTCTTTCTGAGGTGTGTTGTCTCTGTGCATCTATGTGCGTGCTGACGGGAATCCCCAGAAGAGGAAAAGCAGAGTATGCAGAAGAGGCCCCAGGGTCACAGCACTGACCTTGAGTAGCAGAGAGGGAGAGGAATCCAAGACCACAGTGGGAGACAGTCCCAGGGAGGGCTGGGACAGTCACTGCCGGGAGGTGAGTGGAGATGGCAGGGAGGAGGAAAGTGCCCCTCCAGTGACCTTGTATCACTGCTTCTTCTCACGTCCGTATACAATTTATCCCACATACAATGATCTTTCTAGAGTAGACATTAGATCCGGGCCCACTCCAAAGGCTCCCACTATATCCAGTGGGAGGGGCCTATCCCTCCCACCATCTGGCCCTTCCTCCCAGTAGCCCTGCTCAGGCCCAAGCCCACTGAGCAACAGGAACAAGCGCTAAGAGCCACGGGCAAGGAGAGGCACTGGAACGGTGCTGCTGGCTCAGGAGCTGGTCCTCACCTGAAATGATCCACCTGGTTGAGCACATAGATGTGGTGTGGGATCTTTTTCCTGCTTAGGAAGCGGTGCATGTGGGGCACAAAGACCAGGAGCTCCTCAAAGCGTTCCCGGAAGGGCACCAGCACTGCCAAGCGGTGAGGTCCCCATGATGCATCTTCTTCCCAGTGCTCAGGGGGCGGCTCTGGAGGGCAAGCCCGAGGTGGGCCCGCAGTCTCCTGCCCTTGTGCCCTGGTCACCTGGGCCATGTCTCCAGAGCAGCTGAGCTGCAGCCAGAGCAGGGAGAAGACGACCAGCAGGAGGAAGGCGATGAAGAGGTGGAAGACGGAGCACTTCCGGCGGAGGCCTCCAGGAAGCAACCTGGCCCTGGGATAAGAGCAGGGAGGTCAGGAGAGCAGGGCAGCTGAGATCCTTTCAAGACCCTTTCTCTGGCCTCGTCCTCCAGGCTCAGATGACTATTGGCCACCTCTAAATACCTAGGGATTAGTGCAGAAGCAATGTTTAATGTTGCTCATGCTACTACCATATATGATCAGCCCATTCACCTCTGTAGGCCCAGCCTGTGCTACCCCCGGGACACTCTCAGCCCATTCACCTCTGTAGGCCCAGCCTGTGCTACCCCCGGGACACTCTTAGACCGCTCACAGCTGACAGGGCTGCCCCAGTTCTTCAGTGATTTCTCACATTCTGAGGGGCTCCTGGTAAGAGTGCTCAGGGAAAAGGGAGAGGCTCATTGTGTCGTATTTATTTCTCCCTAGGACAGTGTTTTGAAGTCCTTAGCCAATGGCAGGAGTTCCAGTTTAGAAAGATATAACCCACTGATTTCCAAACTCCAAACTCACTCCCCAGAAAATTCACCCAGCAGAAATGTTATTTTGTCGTGCTGTTAGGGTGCCCAGAACGCTCCCCAAGAAGGGGTGTGTACTGACATAAACCCAGGCAAAATGGCCAGTATCTAGTCTAGGAAGCTCAAAGAAGCTCAAAACTGCCCAATGTGAGGTCCAGAGGGAGAGTGCAGATTACTGGGTAGCCCATAGGACAGGAGCTAAAGGAAGGTGAAGGGACAGGGCTGGGCTCAGCATCTGCATCCAAATGAAAGAAACTGGACAAACAGCTGGCTATCTCAGACGCTGGGGGACTCGGGGAAACCACCCTTCAGTTAACAATGACAAAAGAACGTATGGAAAGCCGTGCATGGTGGCCACGGTAGATGGATTTCCACCCAAGGTCAAACTGGGTTACATGGTGACACTGTCTCAAAAACAGAGGAAACGAAGAGGCAAAAAAGAAACAGTGAACTTCACCTTTGCCCTCCTCTCAAAGTTCCTGATACCAGGAAAGGATCTGAGAACCCTAAGAAGGAAGCTTCCTCTACAGTCGCTCCTGCCTCCCTGCCCAAGCGATCAGGGAAGAAATCCACATTAGCCTCTAAGAGTCAGGAACTGGTTTTTATGAGACACAGTCTCTCTGTGCAGCCCTGGCTGTCCTAGAACTCGCTCTGCAGACCAGGCTGGCCTCAAACTCTGAAGAGATCCTCCTGTTTCTGCCTCCCGAGTGCTGGTATTAAAAGTGTGTGCCACCACCTCCCGGCCGGTTATCAGGTCTTGTAGACACTACCTCCTAAGTTCTCCTGCGATAGTCTTGACTAATGGTCCTCACCCTGCTCTTCACTTTCAATCTTACAGCTGCTCTGCCTTGGCTTACAATATCAAAGCCAAAGCCCTTGGTCTGGCAGTAAGAATCCTCTGACAAGGTGCTGTAGTTTTGTCAAATCTCCACTTTCTAACAAGCATTCACTCTCATCCTGAGTAACAGGAGACCTTTCCACTTGCCACATTCCTTCCTGCTCCAGCCCTCACCCCACGTTTCTCCTACTTGACACCTCCTTATTTTAACTGCTTAGCAGTTTCCTACCAATCTTTCAAGGCCCAAGATCCATGTCATGGCCATCACTGCCCCCACCAAGTTCCCTGCTTTGTGTTCCCAGGGTACCTGGCACTTCCCTCTTTACATCACCTATGTGTGATGAGCTGCATGATCCTACTTTCAGAACATGTCATATTCTTTTCTATGGCCTCAGGCCCAGTCAGACAGCCAGAGAGCTTGCCAACTGAGTACAGGAAGGGTGGAAGCAGTCCAAGCATGCTTTAAGTCATACGCTGGAGCCACATCTAAGCCTACCTTTCAAAAGACACGACTGCAAATCTGGAAGCCAGCAGCCCTGAAGCCAGGCCCAGGTCCCACATGCAGCTGCTAGGTTGCCCAGCAGGACCGCCCTCCCCGACTTTCTGACTTACCCCCCATCATCTTGTGGTGATGGTTTCCACTGTGGAGCAGTAGAGCCCAGACCTGCAAGTGGTCTGACAAGCCTGGAACCTTTACAGATTCTTTCTTGCACTCTGGGCTCTTTCTGGGAGCGGGGTGAAGACTTAGACGATGAACAATGGGTAATAGACCTCCTTTGGGGGGAATAAGCAATGACCATTATCCAAGAGTATGGCATGGATTGAACAGTCCATGCACTTTCTTATGATGTTTCTTCAATTTAACTTGCCCTTTCTTCGAGGATTGTAGTGCCCAAGGGCACTCTCATTCTTTGCTCTAAAGGCCAAAACCACTGAGGGTCCCAATTCTATCAATAAAGCTGATAGTGGACATTGAGAACAGATATTGTTGGTGCCACCTGGTGGCAGTCTCCAGAACTGCAGTCCCAGGTGTTCCCACACCCATGATCTGAGGGGCATTTTAAAAAAGGGTTGGTTTCCTGTATCAGTCAACACCTAGGGCTAATTAGAGGTGCTTCAACTCCAAGCACGCTTGTTCTATAGCTAGCACACAGTTACTGCAGTGCTTTATATTTGCTGCGTGGGTCTTTGCCACTTTATCAGAAGCACAGAATGGACATCCATCTGTTTTTCTGAGAACACAATAAAAGAAACAGATCAGAATATGGAAATTCTCCTCTACTTCAAATATCATCTTCATTAATCCTCAAAGAACCCTTCCAAGTAGATAATATGATTGCTCATTTCAGAGATGGAAAACTGAGGTCAGAAAAATTAACTGGTCTGTTTCTGGCCACCATTCACCATGTTTCTATTATATTACTATTACATTTTAACACCAAATCTTAAAAAAAAAAAATTGTGCCCACTAAACTCGAGTCTTACTAAACATGTCACTCATTAAGTGAATATCCACTAAAGTGTGTTTGGGGGAAGAAGGATGAGAGAGAGGAGCATATTTCAAGTCTGAAGTATATTGTCCCTATAAATCTAGGCAGAGAAATCACCTCCCAATTCTGCTTCAGTGAGAAATATCTTAAATTCAGGTCGGGCCAGACTCACACCTAACACTCGAGGCTGGACCCATGCAAGTACAACAGCACAGGAAATGAACTCATGGGTGTGTCTAGTGTAAGCCAGGCAATGGCTATCCAACCAGGCAGAGAACATAGAAAGCTTCTGTCTGGTGTGATCTTCCGGGCCAACTGCAAAGTATGAAGAAGTATGAAAGAAAGGGGTAGGATCTGAAGTCACATGGATGTGATGAGGCAGACAGAAAAAAAATACAGACCCTCAGTGCCACAGCATAGAGAGGATCCTCTGTAAGAAGTGAACGGAATCAGTGTCCCGCAGGAAAACAGATGAACCAGTGAGGAAAAAAGACACACACAAAAGACACATGGGAGAAAGGGACTAAATAGAGGAACAAACACAAAGAGAGATTAATGCAGAGAAGACACAGAGACCGTGACCGCGACACAGAGCCCGAGAGAGACATATGCGCAATGGAAGCTGGTAGAAAAAGAGAGCCATGCAGCCAATGCCAATGGCTCCCTCCCCCAAAACCACAGACCCTTAGGGTGACCCCCAGAAATGCAGACGCGACGGCGTCAGGCCCCTAGATTCTGCCGGCGTTAAGGAAAATAATGGCACCCGAGAGGACGCGGCTCCGGCTGGTCGCCGCCGCTCACCTGCCTTCCTCCCAGGGCAGCTGCGCCGCTTTCCTCCGGGACGGCAACATCGTGGGGAGACACAGCTGGACATGGAGCTCTAGCTCCCAGCCCGGCCGCCAGGCCTGCCCGGCCTACGCGGCGTCTCCGCCTCCGCCTCCGCCCCGCCCCCCGGTCCGCCGGGTCCGTCCCTCCGGCCGGGCCGGCTGCACCCCAGCGCCGCCGCTGGAAGGTTCTGTTGCCCGGAGAAACCCTCTCCCGGCGGCGGGACCCGCTGGCTGTCACACACAAAAAAAAGGCAGTTCCTTCCCTCACCCAGGTCAAAGGCCTCCAAACCAGCTGAGCATAGCTGGGACTAGACGTGCACTCCAGAACAGCACTTCTGGGATAAGGTGCCTCTTCCTCATTTTCCCCAGTGAAGGCTGGCAGCATCACAGCATGGTCAGCCCAGCAGAATAAGCATGTAAACTTGGAGCACAATAGCCAGTTCAGGATTCAGGGCTGGGTTCGGTAGACTCACCAAATAACAGGAGCTGAGCTCTGAACACTGATTGCGATTCAAACCCTGCTCCGACAATTCAAGTATGTTCTGAGGCAAGTCAACTTTTCTGTGACTGTTTCACCACTTGGGTATATAAATTGTTCCTATTCGGTATGGTCATTGAAGAAACTGTAAACTGACTTGGTGCAATGCTTGGCACAGTCACCACTATATAAATGCTGTCGTCCAGTATTTAAAGAGAAGTGAAGCACTGACGAGGAGACCAAGCTCCCTATCTGCTCAGTCTTTGTGTGCATTTATCCACTCCCTTATCCATTGCCAGCTCCCCCTCCTCCCCACGAAAGAAAGAGGCAGTTACTGGACTTGACCTCTGCTCTTCTTTCAGGAAAAATTTAATATTCTAATAAATACCTAATATCTATTAAGTCCTACTCTGTGGCAATCATTATTCTAAATTCTTTACTACTGTACTCTTTTCTTTTTTGTCAAAAGCGAGTTTTTAATTATGAAAAAGCAATGTGATCTAGAAACTGACATACCAGTATCTAATAAAATGACATAGTAGATTTCCTAAATAATTTACAAAGAGCAGAAACTGGTCTTGAGGGGCTGGAGAGATGGCTCAGCGGTTAAGAGCACTGGCTGTTCTTCCAGAGGTCCTGAGTTCAATTCCCAGCAACCACATGGAGGTTCACAACCATCCGTAATGAGATCTGGTGCCCTCTTCTGACCTGCAAACATGCATGTAGGCAGAACACTGTGTACATAAAAAATAAATCTTTAAAAAAAGAAACTGGTCTTGAGCAGTGTTCCCCTCCCTGCACATCCCAGTTCCCCACACTGAGCTGATAAGTAGGCCCCAAGAGCTCAGGCTTGCACAATATACAAATATCTCCTTTCTTCCTATGGGTCCCTGTGGGATCAGGGGTAAAAGTGGCCCCCAAGAATCTCTGCACTGGGAATAAAGGGGGTGGTTTCATGGGATGACTCCTGCAGGGCCTTGGTCCTAGTTACAAGGTTCAGAACTGTCTAGCATCTCAATTACATTCCTAATATGGATGAGCCTCTGTGAGGCTGGAGAACAAGGTGCTGTATGAGTCCTGGAGAGCATGGGCAGTTCCCATCACCTCTTCAAGGTCTTCCTAAATTACTCCTGAGCTGTGGCCAGTGGTTATCAATGGGCCCAGATATAACTGAAATAGAAGTGTTCTGGATCCCGTTAGTCAAGTCCTTGTTAGCAGTGTCCTGGGGATGCTGATGAGCCCAGTGCCTCCTCTGGAAGTTCATGGGGTGGGTGGCACGGACATCCTGATGGCTTGGTGGCTGGACAGGGCCTGTTTCCTGTAGGAAGTCTGCTGTCCTCATTCACGAATAAGGGAGACAGTCATGTCACCACTCTCTTCGGCCTTGATGGCTTTGTCCAGTTTTTGTGGCAGCTTCTGGAGATGCTGGATTCCAGCCCCCACAGGCTCTAGGTCACTGTCAGACTCACTGGGAGAGCAGAGAGGTTCTGTGGAGGAACAGGGGCTCCGGAGGGCAGCCTCCCTCCTTAGCCGCTGACGTCGATGGGCATGTGGACCTGGCATCCCAGTTGGCCCTGTATAGCCGAGTGTTCTGGCTCAGACTGGGTGGTGAGGACCCTCTGTCCTTCTGGACTCATTTTTTCCTCACTTTCACCTGTGTTCAGCCACCTGGTGCCGCTTTGGCAGGACTCCTGGATTCTCTGAGACATAGCACTTTTGGCTGAGCGAGCTGAAGCCTGAAGATGCTGCTGCTCTGGCTCTGGGGTTTCCAGGGGTTTCCAAGAGGGGCCAGTCCCGAGGTTGAGGCTGACGGCTCTCAGTGGCAGCCTCCTTTGGAACCGTCTGCATAAGGAGCCCAGGGGACCCGTCTCCAGATGCCCCTCAGCAGACGGCGTCACCGCCTTCTCTAGATGTTTCTCCTTTAGGAGTGATCATCTGTGCATGGAGGCCATCATGTCCTGCCACTGAGACGCCATGTGCTTGGTCCAGTCTCCTCTGCCCGCTAGATCCTGAGACCTGAAGATCGACACCCGCTCTTCACCCACCACAGCAGATTTTTCCTACTGTTCTTTTATTCAGTCCTATGAACAGGCATTCTTTCCGTTGTGAAGATGAGAGAACCGAGGTACAGGCCAATCAGGTGCTTTGCATAATCCTTTTCACCCACAATCTGCGATCTCCACACTGCTTCAAGAGAGAGCTCCACTACTGGTGAGAACTTAACTGTTTTAACTCTCTCTTTCCCCTCTTACACCCTGACACAACACAACCCTCACCCACCCTGTTAGCAAGTCAGCTCTTGATGTGGCAGACCAAAGGTAGGGCTGACTTTCTGCGGAGACCAGTTAGGTAGGACCTGATGACAGTGATGGGGGACCATGTGACCTGTCCCTCTAGTGTTAGATTCCAGTATCTCAACTAAATTTTACATAAAAACCCAAATTAACTTTTTTTTTTTTTTGGTTTTTCGAGACAGGGTTTCTCTGTGTAGCTTTGCGTCTTTCCTGGAACTCACTTGGTGGCACAGGCTGGCCTCGAACTCACAGAGATCCGCTTGGCTCTGCCTCCCGAGTTCTGGGATTAAAGGCATGAGCCACCACCACCCAGCCAAAATTAACTCATTTTATATTACAGCATTCAATTATACGTCATGTTGATATTGAGTGTCCTTGATATTATGGTAAGAATGCGCTTTACACCCAGGTCTTCCTTTCAAAAATTCATAAAAACACCAGCAACCCTACAATTTGTTACTGGTTTTGACAAACCCATTACCATATGCCTGCTACAAGAAAACATGCAAAGGATGGAGAGCATGATGTTCACATGATGGAGACTGATCCTGGAATGTGAAGCCCTGTGCCCACTGGAAGAGGTTCTTCTCTCTCTTATCTCTATTTATTTATTTTAATTTTTTAAATTTCTGGTTTTTCAAGACAGGATTTCTCGGTGTAGTCCTGGCTGTTCTGGATCTCACTCTGTAGACGAGGCGGGCCTTGAATTCAAAAGGCATGCACCACCACCACCCGGCAAGTCCATGTATTGTCACACCTGCTGAGAGTTAACTGTACACAGGACAAGTCTTTCTTTTTTTTAATTGGGAAACCAATGTAACAAACCCAAACTCACTGAAAATAAACTCAGTAACTAAGACTGCAGGCTCTGTCTCCAACCAGCACCAAAGTCTCTGCTTTGCCTGTTACCAGTTGCTCAAGCCCCAGAAAGGACAACTATAAGAAACTCAAGCCAACCTCTGGGCCCCTTTCCTGCACTGCATCCCCTCCACCCCACCCTTAAATTGACACACATACACCTAGATCAGTAGGCTGGTTCTAAGCCAAAGGCAAGAAAAGCAAGGTTCCTGGAATAACAAGGAGTCACTGATATACCCTGACCTGCTCAAAATCCCGTGTTAACAAAGGAAGACAGAAAGAAAACCAGCTTGCTGGCCCACCCACTTCCCTCCCGAAACCTACCCCAGACAGCAGCCCACATCCCTGATCAGTAACACTGAGAATCTAAGACACCAAGGGCATCACCAGCTCCTGAGTGATTACTGCAAAAGGTCCAGAGGTGGAGGTGGGAAGGGCTTGTCCCACCACCCACTCAGCATTAGTTAGCCAAGTTGCTGCCCTCAGCTTGAGCCTGAGGAGTGAGGGCATGCTTGCAGTCCCTTTCCCCTTCAGAACATCTATGGCTGAAAACCAGTCCTCCTCCCAGAGAGGAACCAGCTCCAGGAGGTCCTTTTCCCATAGCCTGGAAGAAAATTGCCTGTGAGGCTTGGGACAGCTACACCAACTTCTTGGCTTCAAAAAAACTCTTGAGGTGTCGCATCTGCCAGACACCAATGGCCACAAGGATGAGCGTTTGCAGGATGGACCACCACAACACTCGCTGGTTGGTGCTCTCACTGGTTTGTCGGAAGCGCTCCTCCCGCCACTGTGGGGAAATGAATGGCAAGTCTCAGTCCAGGACTGCTAGAACCACTGCGTTCCCAGCTTGCAAGGATGACCCAGGGCCACCATCTCTGCCTACATTCCAGCCAGATGCCTGGGAACTGCCTTCATCATCAACAGTCAGGTGACTGCCAGCAGACTAATGCATTTCTCCTAAGTCTGTCTGTGCATCTGTCAGGTCCTCACTTGACCCTTCCTGATACCTAGAGAAGAAGTAAGGGCATGGTGACAACCCCAAGGGACAGAGGTGTCCTGGAGTGCTTAGTGTGGACTTCCATTCAGGTCTCTTAAGCTGCTCCTTCAAGATCATCTGTGTCATATATTCAGACTGCAAAGTGGTGGGCTGGATACGTTTTGTTTGGTTCACACAGTAGGTTTTTTTTTCCCCCAGAGGTTAGGACTGAACCCAGGGCCTTGTGCTTGCTAGGCAAGCGTTCTACCACTGAGCTAAACCCCCAAACCCCACAGTAGGTTTTTTGCTTTTATTTATTTGTTTTCCTTCTTAAGATGTGATCTCACTATGCATCCCTGGCTGACCTGGAACTTGCTATATAGATCAGGCTGGCCTCGAACTCCCATAGACCCCCCAGTCTCTGCCTCTGGAATGCTTAGATTAAAGGTATGTGCCACCATGCCTGTCACCACTTAAAACTTAGGAAAACTTCACATAAAAACCTGGATCTTCGCCATTAGTCCCA